CTTGAGTGTTCATCCTCTCCACCTCCAAGTGTGAACAAGATCTCGAATCTAGGGTTTGCCCTACATCACCACATCATTATCCCACAGATAATGTTCATTATGATTTCTTATGAGTAGTTTGTTACATTCTTGAGGACTTGGTAGAAACTTGTTGTTAGTAACCATGTGAAGTTGAATAAAGTTTGATGTTTTGATATTATGATGTGATCTCATTCTCTGCTGGTGATGTGCAGGCGTTAACAAGCTGGTGCCAAAGGTTTAAGACATACTCCCACCAAGGACGCATAGCTACTAAAAACTAAGTGGGCAGGATCATCCTAAGCACTCTGAGCACCCCTCGAGTGGCCTTTGGTGCCCATTGGCCTATATATACTAGAAAATCGTCCTCCAATTTATCATGCATTTTTTCGCCGCCACATACAACGTGTGCCTAGGCACCGGGGACCCCTCATGGGGTTGGGTCCTGCCCCTGGTCCTCTTCTAACACAAAAACTTCTCTCCTATTTTTTCTGCTATTTTCGAGGACTTTTCTATGTTGTTTTCCTGAAATTCCAAAAACAACACAAAACAAAAACTAGCATTAGGGCACTGAATTAATAGGTTAGTCCCTCGAAATGGTTCTAAAGCATTGCAAACTTAAAGGATAATACGCATGAAACATACAAAAAATATAGATACATAGGACACATATCAATCATCATAAACAATTAACATACCAGATTTGTGGAATTACTTAACAGTCTTACATAATCACTTAACCATACCAACAAGTTTGTAGAACTACTTAACATAACAGTCTTACATCATCATTGATGAGTCCAAATTGGCATCACTTTTTTACTTTACATTTTGCATCGTAGTCATAGGATTTATGGGATTTTATTGTGTCTGTGCACCCTTTTGTCTTATCCTATATATTCCTATATATCTAAATAGTTGATCCGCACTAACTAAATTATCTTGACATGCGACTATGTCAACTCATCATGCTACCATACATGCCTCCACTAAATTCAATTCTCAACATGCAACTATTCCAACTCACCATGGCACTCTAGGAAAAGACCTGCCTTAATACGCACCATGCATGCTACTCATAATAAAAATATTTTTTCGAACTATATAATAAATTATATATACTTCAGTTCAATTTTTGTATTGCTAATCCAAATACTAAAGTTTCATACTGCCAACTCTCGTAGAAATAACTACATCATAATCCCGCAGTAACGCGCGGGGTATGATCTCTAGTTTCACCAGAATCTCGACTAAGGAGGAGATTTGGAGCATTAAATAATAAAGAAAGAAAGAAATATATGGGTGAAATCACGTTGATTGGCGTGATGGGAACCTCCCATAAGAAGCATCGAAACTGAGCAAATTCCAACGCACCAACGCTTCCAAGAGAAAAGACAGTGCCGGGTAAGAGTGTGCCAGCTCGTACCAGCGCTCATACCAGGTGTTATCGCCTCCCCTTGGTCCACTATTTTACCTCAGTGGTTTCGGATCGCGGAACATGGACAAAGAGAGATAAAAAAAACTTTGACATAACCAATAATGGCTCCGCTACACGCCATCAACCTGATTAAGGAGACTCCAACATAAACCATCATCATCACCATCCCCCTATCCATCTTTTTGTAATACCAAACCCTAGATGGATTCCTACGTGTACTAATTTGATTATTCATACATAATTGCCATGATTACCCCTTTGGTGCTTTGTTGTCTCTATGTTCGAGCACCCCTAGTTCTCGGGGATACAGAGGAACCCTGGTATGTTGGGTCCTAATTTGAGATAGGATTTGACATCACCCTTGTATGTTTTATGTTAATATTTTTTCTGACGTTGGGTGAAGTTGATCACTCAACATTTTTCCCTTAGCTACACTACAAAAAAAAGACACATACATGACATTATGCCTCGAACGAAAAAAAATATGTCATGGTTATGACACTTCTATGACGATAATTGTGACCAAAACATGTATAATGATAGATGTGGTGGGCTCCTACTTGTATGACAAACATTCATGACAGAAAATGGGCTTTTCGTCCTGGGCGGGCCTGGGACACGCCTGCATGGCATTCTTTGGGCCGTCCACGACATAAAAAATTGTAGTAGAAGTGAGGGCGAGGAAATTTTCGCGGAGTTCCCTGTTATGGTGGGTGGTTGGGGCCGAGCGATGTAGTGTGGTTTGCGCGTTTCTCTCTCGTACACGCGCATGGCGCACGCCGTGTCGCTATAACTGAACCCGAGCGAGAGGCGTTCGCTTACTGAACCTGAGCGATCTCACTACTAGCACTATGTACTGAAGCCGATCGATCCCTTCACTGCTAACTAAATTCGACTGACTCCTTCGCTGCTAACTAAACCTGATTGATCGTTGCTGCTGCTAACTGAACCGGATCGAACCCCCGTGCGAGGCATAGCTAGCCGGTTGGGTTGCCTCTGGATGAACAATGCTCGTTGCTGCCATGCGCGTGATACATAGAACGAGTCGAGACGTGGTGAGTTCAGCTGGTTGGTTGGCTGTGGATGAATAATTCCCGGTGGGGGTTGGATGAACAGGACCCCGATCGTGCGTAGGCGGTTACCGCTGGATGAACATGACCCCGTGGTAGTACGTGGTTGCCACTGGATGAACACGACCCCGAGGACGGCACCACACATCCTAGCCGGTTGGGGGGAGAATGAATAGGAGCCCGTGGAGGCTGGTTGAACAGTAGCCGGGGGAGGTTGGATGAACAGTAGCCCATGGATTAACAGTGGCTGGTGGAGGCTAAGAGGTCAATGATGCATTAATAGTAGTAGGTGGAGGCTGGAGGAAGTAGACAATGGATGAACAGTAACCCGTGGAGTCCCGTTTTGCGGTACGCCACATCCCCTCCCGATGAACATGACCCCCTCATGTCTACTACACAACCTTCTTCTTATAGACGTTGTTGGGCCTGCAAGTGCACAGATTTGTAGGACAGTAGCAAATTTCCCTCAAGTGGATGAACTAAGGTTTGTCAATCCGTAGGAGGCGTAGGATGAAGATGGCTCTTTCAAACAACCCTGCAACCAAATAACAAAGAGTCTCTTGTGTCCCCAACACACCCAATACAATGGTAAATTGTATAGGTGCACTAGTTCGGCGAAGAGATGAAGATACAAGTGAAAAATAGATAGTAGACATAGGTTTTTGTAATCTGAAATAATAAAAACAGCAAGGTAGCGAGCGATAAAAGTGAGCTTAAACGGTATTGCAATGATAGGAAACAAGGCCTAGGGTTCATACTTTCACTAGTGCAAGTTCTCTCAACAATAATAACATA